GCGGGGAAATCTCACCGACTTGGAGACCAACGGGGTCGGGCCCGGCATATAGGCCTCTCGAGTCGCGTCTGACCCATTGAGGCTCCGCCCACCTGCAGGAGCAGGGCCCAGCCCCCTGGTCCTGGAACACGGCCGCTTCCTAAGCCCTGAACATCAGATCCTCTCCCGCGGGCCGCTCCTGTTAGACCCCGCCCACTAGCCGCCCCAGGGTTCAAGGCTCCTCCCACCTCGTGACCACGCCCCCTTGGTTGGGGAGCTCCCTGCTCCCGCTCTCCTGAGTAAAGCCGTCCCGGGTTCAAGGCGGTGTCTGGAGTTTGTGCCTGCGTGCAGCAGTAGCGCCCCTCCGCCGCCAGGCCGAGGCCAGGGCTGCAGCGCCGGGGTCTGGAAAAAAGCGGACGCGACGAGGCGCCCGGTGCAGGGACTTTGCTATGTGGGCCCGCGCCAGTCGGGGGAATTCTGGAACCAGGGAGAGCAGAGGTCTTCCTCTCCAGAGGCAAGGACAGATAATATGATTTCACGGAGTGGTAAAAGCTATTACGACAATAAAACAGGTGATGATATTGTGCAGAGTTGAGGACCGGAGGGAGACTAATTTCAACCGAGGCCCCTCTGAGGAGGTGACATTCGGGAAAATCCAGGGATAGAGTATCTCAGGAAGAGAAACAGCAAGGGTAAAGGCCCCGAGGTGGGACGGAGCTTAGTAGCATCCTGTCTGGTGGCTTTATGATCTCTAAAGATGAGCTGTCCTCAGTTTTGCTACCAGAAGCCCGAACCACTGAACATTTGAGTCGGAGAGTGTTAGCTAAAGGACTCTAGGAGGAGCATCCTTGCTCAGCAACCACAGGACATGGTTCCTGGTCTAAGAGATAGAGCAGGCAGGAGGAATCTGAGCCCCTCAGCCCAGCCCTTCCCCTCAGCATGGCAGTCACCAGTGCCCACCCAGTGCAGCTCCACTCCCAGTCTTGCTTCCAGTGAGGACTCCTTTTGGAAAGGGGCTTGTTCATGCTCCGGCGTGAGTCACCCTTGCAAAAGAATGAAGCATTAGGGAGAGGAACTGCTGGTCCTAAAACCTGTGGAGAAAATTCTTTCTTCAAAACCAGGGAAGAGGGGTTGGGGGGCAAATTGGGTCTGTTTCCCTTCTGCGTCTAATGCTTGACACCCCTCCCTGAGATGGATCAATTCAGAATTAGGACCAGACAGAGTTCACTGTAAGAAAAAAATGTGAGTTGGTATAATGGAGGGAATTGGGGGATTTTTTTTTTTTTAGATTATAGAAGAAACCAGGGTTTTGGGAATCATGAACTTCAGAAATGAAAAGAACATCAGAGAATCCAGATGAACAGGCCAGGCCCAAGGCCTGTGCAAAAATACTCTCCCTCTAATTCTCCCATGGCTTATGCAAAGAGGGGAATTCTGTAACCCAGGTGTTTGCAAATGGGAACGGGTGGCTTAGGGGCCAGCTCTGGCTCACAGATTTTTTTTTTTTTTTTTTTTTTTGCCTGATTGGTTTCGAACAAATTTGAGTCAACATTTTAGAAAGCTGGACTACTTCAAATGGAAATTCTAGGATTCTGGTTCTTCTTGGGACAATAAGACAACTCTGGGCTTGCCTTCCTATGCAGCAGCAATCAGCTGGTGCTGAGAAGTGCCCCTCTTTAGATGGGGCATAGGCAGAGCAGAGCACAGACTAGGGAGCTAGACTGCTCAGACTGACAAGGGAAAAGTCCAGGATTGCGGGTTTCAAGCTTAGGTAGTCAGCATCAGGCACTGGTGGGTGGAGGCAGGGAACAGAATTGCCACTGGTTCACATCCCAGATCAGCCACTTGCTGGCAGGATGACCTTGGGCAAGGTACTTGACTTTTCAATGCTTCAGTTCCCACATCTAATAAATGGGAATGATAATAATACCCATCCGCTAGTGCTATGGTGAGTTTAATATCAAAGGTGTTTAAAATAGTGGTTAGCACAGACACTACCCTTTTAATTTTTGGAGAGGGGCCTGGGTGGGGGGGCTCTTGCCCAAGTCAGCCTAGCACCTCCCTCTCCCCTCCTGTCTGCCCTGTGTATGCAGGTATCTCGAGTTGGAGCTCCCCTTTTGGCACCCACAGCAGAACTAATGAGGAAAGGACTTATCCTGTGGGACTGAGGAGGGGCAGAGGGAGAGGTGGACAGATTTGAGGAATAAGGAAGAACCACCATCAGATTTGGTAGGTGAGGGAGGAGAGGACAAGGGAGAAGTCTGGGATTGTGGGTTGTGAGCTTAGGCAGTCAGCATCAGGCAGTAGTGGGTGGAGGTGGGGAATAGAATTGCCACTGGCCAAGGTGGGAAACAGGGCAGGAGGAGCAGGTTTGAGAGAGAAGATGAAACTCAGATTTGGATGTGTGTTTCCTCTGCGTGCCTTGGGCGGGACCCCCTGGGTGGCCCTTGTGCTACCCTGCGAGGCCCTGCATCATTTGTCCCCCATCCCAGTACCTCTCAGCCTCATAGTTTTTTACTCTCCCCCTTCCTCACTCAGCTGCAGCCACACTGGCCTCTTTGCTGTCCCTCGAATATACTAGGCAAGCTCCTGCCTAAGGGCTTTTGCACTCACTGTTCCTTCTGCCTGGAACACCCCTCCCCCAGATATCCACAGTGCTGACTCCCTTTCCTCCTCTGAGCTTTGTTCAAATGTCAGTGCAGTGGACCTTCCTGACCACCCTATTGAACACCACACACACTCTCAAGTAACACTCCCTTTCTTCTCCTTACTATCACATTTATTCTTTGTCTGGCTTGCCCACAGGAACAATCTCCATGAAGACGGAAAGTATTTTCTTCACTCCTGTATCCACAGTGTCTAGAGGTGTGTCTAGCATATAGCAGGTGCTTAATAAATATTGGTTGAATGAATGAATGAATGGTCAGGAGATAACTCTACCTTCTCTTTCTTGGCTCAGCCCCAGCTTAAGCTTTTTCTCTATTCCCACGAATCCACCTACAGTAGTGCTCACCTGTCTGGATGAGCACTACTAAAACCAGCCCACCATTAATGGACATCTACCCTGCCTTCATTTCATTCCTGTCACAGATGAGGCTGCAGGGGCTGGCTGGTTAGAGCACGGTGCTGATAACACCAAGGTCCAGGGTTCAGATCCCCATCCTGGCCAGCTGCCAAGAACAAAACAAATGAGGCTTCAACTAACATCCTTGTACATACGATTGCCCACTTGTGTCTGTCAGGATCAATTCCTGGTAGTGGAACATTTGGGCCAAGAGTTTATGTGCATTTAAAATACTGATTTTTTTTTCTTTTTGGCAGCTGTTCAGTACAGGAACCAACCCCTGCGTCTTTATGGTATCAGCAGCATGCTCTGGTCAAGTGAGCTAACTGGCCAGCCCCTAAATACTGATTGTTAATATCTATTTTGTCCTAAAGGTTGGAACAATTTATGCTTCTGCAGATGATGCATGGGAGTCCCCTGCCTCATGTTCACCAGAATTGGGTATTTTCCAACTTCTAGTATTTGCCAACTTGACAGGTAGAAATGGCATCATGGGATAATTCACATTTCTCTAGTTAGTGAGACACAGCATCTTTTCAGTCATGTGGTTTTCTGCTAAGGTTTTACAGCTTTCCTTCTCAGAGATACTGTGAGCCCCTTGTCACCCCTCCTCCCCCACTGGATCAGACCTACCAGGGCACCTCTATCTAGAATGCCACAAACAGTGGATATATTTAATTCTTCTCAACTTGTGACTATTTAATCAGCCTCTTCCCCCCTGAAATGCAGACCAGAGAGATGTCTCCCTTAAGTGTTAAACATTTTTTTTTTTTTTGTCTTTTGTCTTTTTCTGTGTCCGGCAA